TCCCGGAAATTGAAATGCAGTAGCCATATTAAATGTCGTTCTAATGCCTTAATAATCTGACTAAACCAATTGTATAATGCAACAACCCATCATCGCTTATCCTGGTAAGAATATGCACACACACCAAGCACTGTGTTTACCTCCCTCCACCCATTGCTCTAGGGATTCTCTGACCCTTCCTTTCTTCTTTGTTCTACTTTACCAAATACAGTAAAAAGTTAATGTAAAAAAAAAAATTGAAAAGATTATAGTGACATGTGCCTCGTGTTTGTCTGTGAATAGTTAATTGTAATTTTATTAATTATTTTTTATTCTTATTGTATATTTAAGAAGTAGAAATTAGCTCACGCCATGTTTTATCAATGCAAATAGATACGCCCTGATACAACACTTAATTTAAGCCTAGAAATCTGTGTTAAAGCAGTGTTTTTTTTTTAATGTAATTGCTTGTCAAAGGACCAGGCAGGGAAATGAGTACGCGAACTCTAACTATAAAGTGATAAAGCGAAACTGAAAATTACGTCATTTTATGCTGAACTACGTGACTCCTGAATGAAGTACAACGTGCGCAACTTTCGCTGTGTTCTTGATCCAGTGCCACTGCTAGGTGCCAGGCCAGCTATCCCTAAGGTAACCAGGACCTTGTTTTCTCTGACACCTTTTCACATGTGACATTGGACACCCAGGTGGTGACAGTTTCTAGTTGGATAAAACGTCACAAGTGAAGGTATGCATCAGCATCAGCCATGCAGACTTTCATGCGAGATTAGTTAAAATGTCAATGGGTGAAGTGCGACAATATTTAAAAGAAAAAAACATTTTTTTTGTGCACCACTAGGGAGCTGTAGGTAAACCACTTCGCGTTTGGGCTTATTTTGTACTATAATGACCAAAACCGCGCAAATTTCCTAAAAAGGACAATATATTGAGAAGAAAACGAAAGTACGTAATAAGCATATATGATATAGGGCGTAAGAAATGCCGTGAACCAAACACAAGTATCAAGGTAAGATTACTGTAATGGAAAAGCTGTGGTTATATTCGACATTCTGTTTTCCGGCTGTAATTTCTTTAAACAAAAGCAAGCCAGGCGGTTTTTAATCACAGACTTCTCATATGAAGTACACAGCGACGTGTCGCGCTCATGTGGTGACAAGCGCCTTCGCGCGCCCATGTATATGTATCCTTGGAGATGTGTGTGGCCGATTCGTCAGTTTTGGAAAAATGAAATAAAATTGTAAGTATTCGGAATTGTCCATGTACACACTTAACGTTGCTTAAAATATATATTTGAATAACAGTCTCTTTTCATAAAGGATTCAATTTTATATTCATAGGCTGCTACTTTACGACTGTATGCATGTTTGTCCTTTTACAAACATGCGCGATAAGTCCTTTCCTCCATCAGTGTATGTCGTTACTTAATTGGCTGTAAACTTGACGGATCTGCCTCCGTCTTCTGCAAAAATAAGTGCATACGCTTGTCACCAGTTAACAGGATCACCACTTAAACCATAAAGCAACACACACCTATCATTGCGTTTCGATAGGTGTGTAAAATTTTGTTAATAGCTACGATTTCAGCTGTAACGAGACTTTTTTCCTAGATTACGTTAGTACCCATCTTTGTTAATTACACTATGTCAATTAAATATGCATTGGACAATAAATAAATGATCTAATCGAAAAGTAAATGAGGCCAACAGTCCAGTTAGTGTACTTTGAGCAGTGGACTATGGGGGCACAATGCACACCAATTGCATTTCTATATATATATATATATATATGTATGTATGTATGTATATATATATGTATGTATGTATATATGTATGTGTATATATATATGTGTATATATGTATGTATGTATGTATGTATGTATAT